GCCACATTATTAGAATGAAAATGTATTTTTGAATAGTGTATTGATAGGAAATGTGTGGTTAAGAAAGAAGGAAAAGTTTTGAATTTGCGTGTAATATTATTTTATTAAAGAATGTGTGGTTGAGATGATATCAAATTACTGTTGAAAAATGTATTTTTTTTTAAAAAAATGTTGTTCAAATAGGGCCATAAATATAACCCAATTTATGTACTTATTCTGCAAAAATACATTTCTTGAAACTGCACTTTAGTCCTTCAGAAATCGTAAAAGTAATAAAAATGATCTAAAACATACCAAAAAATTAGATAACGCCTCTAAACCTTAAGTACCAATTTATAAACTTATTATCAATCTCTTTTCAATGATGATGATTCGATTTGGAAAATTAAATTATTGTGCTACAGGCATGCAATGGTTTAAACAATGATTTACATACACATAATATGATGAAATATGATTGTGTCACTATTTTCTTTAATTAAAAAATCTTTCACGCTCTCTTTTTAACATATCATCTATGTGTAAGCCATTATGTGCAAGGGGTAATATTCTTTCTTAAATTGCAATACCATTCTTTTTCTTTTTTTCAATTGCAAATTTCTTTAGTATTCAGTGTGCATGCCTTTTACCAATTGCTTAAATAAAATCATAATTGAAACCAATATTTTGAAAATCGGACTGGATGTTAACCCGAAAATTAAAAAGGGCCAAGGGTCAAAGAGTTGAAAAGGGTTCGAATCTCAGTCGAACCAAATTTTTTTTAAAAATTAAAAAATAAATGAATAATTTATCCAAAAAGTGAATAATGTCAACAACATGGAAAATTGAAATAGTTAAAATTAAAAACTTCATAGTTTTGCATCATCTATCACCAATAAAGAATGCCTATGTAATAATTGAATCTAGAAAGTGCAATAAGTATAAAAGATTTTAAAAGTTAAATATTGTCTTCATCGTTTTCATCTCTACGTCTCAATCCTTGATCACTTCCACGAGAAATGATAACTAATTCCAAGCTTTAAAAGTCAAGGAAAAGGATTTGTATTTCATATGGTTAGTAAGATTCCAAGAAACCACCATTATCATTTGCATTTCAGAAGACCAAATTTGTAAGCGACAATCATTGTTAAAGTCAAACAATGAAGAGTATTAATATTTCATAGATTACACTGGATATTTGTACTGCAGAATTTTGTAATGAGAGATATCTATAAATATTAAATAATGAAACAAAAGCAGTTTAGCTTATGTTCAACCTCATAAAAAACAAGTCAACAATAATCCAGCCAACGAATAAAGGGTAAGATAACAGAATTATGTAGAGAAAAGGTTAGGTTCCTGCTCTTCCAAATGCACAGTACAACCATTTAGACATATTTACAAATAGCACCAAGTATCAAACATCACAAGCTTTCTATGAACAAACAATGTCACAGGGAAGAAAAAAGTACAAAATCCAATAAATTTCACTTATCAAATATGAAAATTGTTATTCAAAAACTACAAAATATGAAAAGTAGATAATTGTTATCCCTAAATTAATTAGAATCTAGGGGGAAAAGATAAAAATTTCGGAAAAAATAAAAAAGAAGACAATGAAAGAAAGATGAGGAGTTGAATAAGGGTTTTCATTCTTTTCACGATTCCCTTCTAATTGGTTGCGGGTCATGATTTTATCATAAATCGGCCGGTCCGTTGAGTTCCCAAACGATTTTTTAATTAAAGGGTTTCTAAAGCAAATCGGACCGAATTTTAGACCGATTCCCAATTTTCACGGTTAAACCGATCGGCCCTATTTTCAAAACATTGATTGAAATTTTAATAAACAATAAATTTAGAGTATTTATAGTGATAATGGTTCTTCACAAAAGCACGAGTTACTTTGTTGATGACTTAAAAATACATATTCACTTACTATACTATTGTCCAGACTTTTGTCCCCATCCATGTGTGGTCGATAAGAAATTCAAGGATTATGCTTTCGCTCGAGAAACATGTTTGATTGAAATGATATTCTTGGAACCAAATAGATAGGCCCTTTTTTCCCCAAATAAATGGCCCCGTTTGATTTTCATTTTTATTAAAATACAATTTTCTTTCCATTCTTTTTAACTACAAATTTTTTATTAAAATAATATTATACGCAAATCAAAAAAATTTCCTTATTTTTCATCAATACACTCTCCATCAATCTAGATTTTAAAACTCATTTTTCTATAAAAATGGATGTCAAACACCTTCATAGTAATATTTCATCGTCCACTATTGACACAGAGTAATTTTGTGCTATCATATTTCAACAACAAATTTTGAGTGTAGGAGAACTTATGCTAAGGGATTTCATAGATGTGTATTATTTCACTAGGCAACAATACTGGAAAGATTCTCGTATATCGAGAGGGTGTTTGAGCCCCAATTTTATGAAAAATACATTTTAGAATAGTAAATTGATGAAAAATGTGTGATTGAAAAATAAGAATTTTTTTTTATTTACGTGTAATATTATTTTAATGAATAATGAGTGGTTTGAAAGAAAGAAAATAGAAAAATGTATTTGAGGAATAATGAGAATCAAATAAGGTCTGAAATGGTTAAGATGGATCTTTTAATGTAAAAAAAATAGTTTAAAAAATTAAGAAAAAAAGGATAATGAAAAAATAATGCAGTCTGTGGGTCTTCACATATGCCCTATGTTTTACATTTGAACTGATTGGAGAAGGCCCAATAAATTGAAGTCTTCCTCGGTGATTGATAAAGGGAATCTTCGATAAACTCATCGCGTTCACACTTGCCATGGTGATATTTAAACCTTCATTACCCAAAATGCCCTCCGAATGGGTAATTATCACATGTTGCCGTGTAGGATCTCTTGCTAAACTTGTAATGTTTTTACTTTTCATCTTTTGCTTTAAGTAATTATATTAAGGGTAATTGACACAAAAGTTCTTACTTTTCAAGTTTATTGTGGAAAACATCTATATTTTTCATTTTTTGACATTTTCCCCCTTACCTTCCACATTTCTTTACATATTTTCACCATTTTTAATGTAAAATTTTCAAAATACCATTCCATTTAAATAAATCCAAAAAAAGAAAAGAAAAATAAAAAATAAATTGCAATCTTACTCCTAAATATTTTAAAAAGTACAATTGAGTCCAAATAATTATTAAAAGGTCTAATAGTACAAAACGTCTATACGTTTGGTCTATAGTGTGCAAAATGTCCTTATATTTAATTTTTTTTGATGTTTTCATTTCTATTTCCACATTTCATTGCGGAAATGTTAAAAAATGAAACATATGAATGTTTTCCGCAAGAAATGTCAAAACATTGGGATTTTTTTTTTTGCTTTTAGGTCTTATTAAAATATTAAAAATAAAAAAAAAAACTATCTCTTCTTTTCTTTTTCAAATGGGACTGCTACGTTAGAAATGAAAAAACTCCGACCAATTATTGCCCAAACCGCCTAACTTCCATATCGCTAAATTATCTGTTGACCATGAAAAGAAGTGCCCTAGTGAGTATAGTCGATTAGTGTGTTAAAAATGGCATGGGTCTCTTTGAAACAAGTGATGCTGTCAGTATTTGTATTTACAAGTTGGGTATTTTGGCTTGCAATTCCGAACATATCTATTGACATGAAGTTTTCAATGTTGGATATTGGGTGGTATGTATAGAAAGAAGTGAGGACTTTTTGATGGTATGATAGTTTGCTGGAGTTTTTTAGCTTCTAAGGTGGTTGACCCATTTGGAGGAGAAGAGAAAGAGGGTTCTTTTTTTTTTAATATTTTAATAAGGCCTAATAGTAAAAAAATCCCTACGTTTGACACTTATTGTGGAAAACGTCGCTACATTTCAATTTTTTTTTCGTTTTTATCCCTATTTCCACGTTTTATTGCTGAAAAAGTCATTTTTCACCAATTTGAAACGTATAAATGTTTTGCACAGTATATGTCAAATGTAAGACGTTTTGTGCTATTAGGTCTTTTAATAATTATTTGGATTCACTTGCATTTTAAAAAATATTTAAGAGTATGATTGTAATTTATTCTTTATTTTATTATTATTTTTTGTTTTATTTAAATAGGAAGGTATATTGGTCATTTTACATTAAAAATTTGAAAGATATGGACGTTTTGTGCCAATTACCCTTATATTAATATCACAAAATTTTTTTATTTCACCACTTTATAAATAAGCTACTAATTAGAACAATTTTTTTACCATCACATTACAAAATCATACTAATATAATTCTCTGGCCAAATAAGAAAAAAGAAAAAAAAAATACAAATTACACTACTTGTAGCCAAGGATTAAGCGAAGACTTATAGTTTGGAGATTACAAAGAAAGATTGTAAGACGGAGAAAAAGTTCAAAGAAAGGAAATTTTATGAGTTTTGTTTATAAATCGTTGATCTTATAAAATGCATGAATAATATATTGATAATAATTATAAGTCTTAAGAAATTTAAGCGTTTAATCACTCCTATTACTTCCCATACAGTACAAATAAATTGATACTTTTTCAATCTGATTACGTGTACATAAATATTTAATCTTTTTTTTTTTTTGACAAATTGTCTTACAAAATTTCATTTGCTGGTGAACAAAAAACATATATAAATAAGTCGATGCAGTGTTGCCACCTATACATATGTAATACTTTCTGAATATTTCCTCTATACAATGAGCTTAATTCTTTTTCTTTACTCACCCTAATCAACTAACGATGCAGACAATCTGGGCCCTTGAATTTTCTAATCAGACTTGCAAAAGATGACGATTCGCACTGCCCGTCGTACACAATTTTTACTTGCATACAATTGTAGAAATTCATGGAGAGAAGGCCCAAAAGGTCAATTTAGTCATTTTCAGTTGACAAGTATAGCTCCAAAAAGTCCGCTCCTGCGATTTGCACACCAACCCAGTTTTTAATTCGTCACCTACCATGAAAATGCCCATAGTATATTCCATCCACACCAATCCCAGCTGTCCAGATTATTGACCGTGCGATCAATTCAATCCAACGTTTCTCATTTAGTTACTAGAACCTTCACTCCCTATTTATTTACTGCCTAAAACGCCTTTCTGTCCTCAGTTTCACTCGTGCTTAGCACACTCGTTCTTCCTTGGGTTTATCCATTTACTGTAAGGTTAGTTTGCTTTTCTGACCTCAGGATTTATCGGTCTGGTTTTTGCTTGCCTTGACTTTTTGTTGAAATGCTAGTATTTTTGTGTTTTTTCTCTGGTGATTTTGATTATTTCTGTTGAATAAATCCAAGTGTAGAAAAGCTGAAAATGGTGAAGAAGTACCCAACTGTGAACGAGGAGTACCTGAAGGCCGTTGAGAAATGCAAGAAGAAGCTCAGAGGCCTCATCTCCGAGAAGAACTGCGCCCCCATCATGCTCCGTCTTGCGTGAGTTTCACACCTCTTTCCTAGTTTTAATCAATTTTATTTATTATTATTATTTTTTGGGAATATAGAGAAATTTAGATTTTAGATTTGCAGATTTGTCAGTTGACGTTTTATGAACGCGATCAATTTAGATCTATCGTGATGTTAATAGTAATTACACATAGCTATACAAGTTTTTGAATCCCGAATAACTTAATGAAACAATCGAGAATAGAGTTATGAAGATTTGGAGTTAAGGTTTTAGCAGAAAAGTGAAGTATTTTTGAGTTCTGAAAATTTGTAGGTTGGATTTGACAAAAAATGGAAACAAGACATTTGATCTAAATAAAGTCTGAAATATCGGAGCTGCTGAAAACACGATGGTTGTATGACACTTCTTGTGGGTGTGGGAAGTGGGGCGGGGCTGGCCCCACTTGTGAGCTCAGCCGACTAGGCTTGCCCGGAAGGCGATCTGCGGGCTCGACATGAGCGGAAAAAAAACTCGTGTGAGCTTCTCATGTTTTTGAAAGTGAAAGTGCAATTTTGGCAAAAAAATAAAATAAAATAAGCTAGCATTTACTCCACCGAGGGACTAGTTGAACCCAACTTTCTTAAAGGAAGCTGGCTCGTGCTCAGCTTGATCCACAGGAGGGGACCAACTGCCTGAGCCTACCTGATGGTTGGTGACCCGAGTCGTTCGGCTTTACCCATTTAACACCTTTACTTATGTGTCCTATGGGCTTGCCTGAATTGAATCCTGAACATAGGGTTTTACTGTGTTGTCTGTAGTGCAAATTTCATACATATGAGATCATGTTTGTCGGTTTTTTAACTATTTTGTACTCAACGATCACACAATTGAGTCAGTTTCTTAAAATATATTATACTCAATGAAATGACAATATAATAACAAATGCAGATTTTTTCCTTCGTTGGAAATTATCAAAAAAAATTTCGGAAAAAATAAAAAAGAAGACAATGAAAGAAAGATGAGGAGTTGAATAAGGGTTTTCATTCTTTTCACGATTCCCTTCTAATTGGTTGCGGGTCATGATTTTATCATAAATCGGCCGGTCCGTTGAGTTCCCAAACGATTTTTTAATTAAAGGGTTTCTAAAGCAAATCGGACCGAATTTTAGACCGATTCCCGATTTTCCCGGTTAAACCGATCGGCCCTATTTTCAAAACATTGATTGAAATTTTAATAAACAATAAATTTAGAGTATTTATAGTGATAATGGTTCTTCACAAAAGCACGAGTTACTTTGTTGATGACTTAAAAATACATATTCACTTACTATACTATTGTCCAGACTTTTGTCCCCATCCATGTGTGGTCGATAAGAAATTCAAGGATTATGCTTTCGCTCGAGAAACATGTTTGATTGAAATGATATTCTTGGAACCAAATAGATAGGCCCTTTTTTCCCCAAATAAATGGCCCCGTTTGATTTTCATTTTTATTAAAATACAATTTTCTTTCCATTCTTTTTAACTACAAATTTTTTATTAAAATAATATTATACGCAAATCAAAAAAATTTCCTTATTTTTCATCAATACACTCTCCATCAATCTAGATTTTAAAACTCATTTTTCTATAAAAATGGATGTCAAACACCTTCATAGTAATATTTCATCGTCCACTATTGACACAGAGTAATTTTGTGCTATCATATTTCAACAACAAATTTTGAGTGTAGGAGAACTTATGCTAAGGGATTTCATAGATGTGTATTATTTCACTAGGCAACAATACTGGAAAGATTCTCGTATATCGAGAGGGTGTTTGAGCCCCAATTTTATGAAAAATACATTTTAGAATAGTAAATTGATGAAAAATGTGTGATTGAAAAATAAGAATTTTTTTTTATTTACGTGTAATATTATTTTAATGAATAATGAGTGGTTTGAAAGAAAGAAAATAGAAAAATGTATTTGAGGAATAATGAGAATCAAATAAGATCTGAAATGGTTAAGATGGATCTTTTAATGTAAAAAAAATAGTTTAAAAAATTAAGAAAAAAAGGATAATGAAAAAATAATGCAGTCTGTGGGTCTTCACATATGCCCTATGTTTTACATTTGAACTGATTGGAGAAGGCCCAATAAATTGAAGTCTTCCTCGGTGATTGATAAAGGGAATCTTCGATAAACTCATCGCGTTCACACTTGCCATGGTGATATTTAAACCTTCATTACCCAAAATGCCCTCCGAATGGGTAATTATCACATGTTGCCGTGTAGGATCTCTTGCTAAACTTGTAATGTTTTTACTTTTCATCTTTTGCTTTAAGTAATTATATTAAGGGTAATTGACACAAAAGTTCTTACTTTTCAAGTTTATTGTGGAAAACATTTATATTTTTCATTTTTTGACATTTTCCCCCTTACCTTCCACATTTCTTTACATATTTTCACCATTTTTAATGTAAAATTTTCAAAATACCATTCCATTTAAATAAATCCAAAAAAAGAAAAGAAAAATAAAAAATA